AACCCAATTTTTTATTAATTAAAATTTGCCCCGACCCTATTCCGATCGATTGACTAAGGCACTTGAGAACACCCTTAAATTAAAAATGAGACATGCCATTGACATGGCGTTGAGAGTTCATAAGGTAAAAATAAATAACAATTGTAAATTAAATAATAATGAATGAAAAATGGTGCCGAAAGTTTATACAGATAATTTAATATATAACGAAGACATGAAATTAAATAATTGTTTCCCCGAAAAAACAGGTAGTGATCTAAATTTAGTCAAAGTATAGAAAATCAATATATATACATTCATGTTATTTTCAGTTTCATTACTTGGTTGCTCAATATATTATATAGTTAATAAAAAATATGCACATTAAACGGCGGCAGGTGATCTAAGCCAATCACCTGCCGTCGTTTAATACCCATGTGAATATTTTTATTACCTATACTAATAACAGTATTATCGTATACAGAGCACAGACAATATTCTTTTTTGTCTAAGTAACATAAATTTTCCGACCGATGAAAAGTCAAACCGGAAATTGTCTTACGTAGACGGAAATCTCCGAAATTTTACAATAGATTTTTACTTCTATATCATTATTTGTAATTACGTCATCAAATTAAACTACGTGCATGCATATGTTAAAAAGACCAGAGAAAAAAGATGATAAATCAGTGATGACGTAAACTATACAAATATGAGGATTTTTGGCTATACGATAATAAATACATAATGAATAAGCATCCAAGAAATTTGAGTAACTCCGAATGCCATCTATCCGGCAAGCGAAATGCTGATATGTTAAACAACCAACAACGAAACTGTTTTAGCAGCAATAACTGCAAATTCTCAGAGAATAAACTTTTATGAGTTTTGGAATCCCTTACGGGTTTGTGAACACTCGCAATGGGTTAAACCTTAAAAATCTATAAGCTCTAAACCGTATAAAAGAATTTACAGTACCAAATATAATTTGCTGCTATAACCTATGTAATAAATAAGAAAGTACTAACTTATTGAAGATAAGAGCAGTCTTTTTCATGATTACAACAATATTCGCACGATTTCTCTCCGATCTTACCTCCAACACATCTTTTTTTCCGGCCACGACAGATATCACATGCAACTGCTTTTCTTTTCCCTTCTTCTTTCATTTCCATTTCCAGAGACGACGAAGGGATTTGTAAAGATTCTAAAAACTTGTTGTGGTAAAGAAAGAAATTGTCACCAAGTATGTCCCTGAGGTAAACAAGGAAAGCATTGGCTGTCTTCTGTTGAGACACCTCTTCCTTGAGCTGAAACTCTTTTTTATTGAGCTGAGACTCTTTTTCGGTAAGCTGAGACTCTTTTTCGTTAAGCTGAGACTCTCTTTTATTGATTTGGGACTCTCTTTCATTGAGCAACAATTCTCTTTTACTGAGAAGGGACTCTCTTTCATTGAATTGTGACTCTTTTTCATTGAGCTTAGGTTCTTTTTCTTCGGGAAGGGAAATAGATTTGGCATTATAGGAAATTTCATTATATTGTTCATTATGATTCTCTAAGAGAAGCTAAAATATGAAGAGGTCATATAATTAGTTCCACATCGTTCTTGATGGCTTTCAAAGAATAAAAGGTCATGTGATCAATCAATTACCCTGATCACATTATTCATGATGTTCAAGGTCAAGGGCGCAGTTTTCTTTTGCAAATTACAAAGCGTCTTTTTTTTGCGTAAAATTGGAACTCGACATTAAGTGCGTTATTTTTCTTTTATAAAAATTTTGGAGTTGGCCAGCATCAAAAAAAATTAAATATCACTGTAATGCAAAACATTCATTTTTGATACACCTGTACGTACCTACTTTTTTTTTGATGCTGCAGATCCCGGTAAAAATAAAAATTTTAAAAACTTTGAGCGAAGATATCTCGACAACTACCCGTTTGAATCTAATAAAACCTTTTAAATTTGAATTCTATGGATTCATAGAATTCAAATAAAAAAAAAAAAATCATCAAATTTAGCCATGTGTTGTCGAGATATCTTCGCTCAAAAACAAAACACCTATCAAAATAGAAGCTGCGTCAAATTTCTCCTAACTTTGAGCGAAGATATCTCGATAAATATCTGATCAAATTCGATAAAACTTTTTTTATTTGAATCCATGGATTAATAGAATTCAAATAAAAAAATTTTAATCGAATTTAGTCAAATGGCTATCGAGGTATCTTCGCTCAAAATTAGAGAAAAATAAAACGTCTATCACAATGGAAATTTTCTCTCTAACTTTGAGCGAAGATACCTCAATAACGGTCTGTCCAATTAGATAAAACCTTTTTTTATTTGAATTCTATGGATTTATAGAATTCAAATAAAAAAATTTCACCGCATTTAATCAAGTGTTTGTTGAGATATCTTCGCTCAAAGTTAGTAAGAAAATTTGGCGTAGATACGCATTTTGATTTTTTCTTTGAGCGAAGATATCTTGATTTGAATTCTATTATTCTATATAGTTCAAATAAAAAAAGTTTTACCTAATTTGGACAGACCGTTATTGAGGTATCTTCACTCAAAGTTAAAGAGAAAATTTCTAGATAGGCGTTTTATTTTCTCTAATTTTGAGCGAAGCTACTTCGATAGCCACTTGACTAAATTCGATTAAAATTTTTTTATTTGCATTCTACGAGTTCATAGGATTCAAATAAAAAAAGCTTTATCGAATTTTGTCAGATAGTTATCAAGATATCTTTGTTCAAAATTAGAGAAATTTGGCGCAGCTTCTATTTTTATAGGCGTTTTGTTTTTGAGCGAAGATATTTCGACAACACGTGGCTAAATTTGATGAATTTTTTTTATTTGAATTCTATGAATCCATAGAATTCAAATCTAAAGGGTTTTATCAGATCCAAACAGGTAGTTGTCGAGATATCTTCGCTCAAAGTTTTTAAAAATTTTATTTTTACCGGGATCTGCATGTCGATTAGCATCAAAAAAGTAGGTACAGGTGTATCAAAAATAAAAGTTTTGTAATTGTATCAATATCACATGACCTTGAATTATCGCTCAAAAAATTTCACCACCTCGGCAATCAACAATTTTTTATTTTTTATTTTTTTTTGCATGATTTCCGGCATCTATGTTCTCAGGGAGAAACTGAAAAGATGGGGAGGCCATATGAATATTTACCTGATATCCTTCTTGATGGGTCTCTGAGTGAATATCAGTTTCTTGATATCGTTTTTGTTGATTCTCTAAAGTAATATGATTATTTACTTGATATCCTCCTAGATGATCCTTTGAGGAAAATTAAAAAGATGAAGCCATATTATTAGTTTCCATCATTCTTGATGATTCATTGAAGAGAACAGAAAAGATGAAGAATTCATAGAATTATTTACTTGATATTGTTCTTGATAATTCTCTAAAAAAAATTGAAAATATGATAAGTTCATATGATCAGTTTCCTGAGTCTCCTGGAATTGCACTTGATGGTTGTCTGAAAAAAACTGAAAAGATGAAGAGGCCATGTGTTTTAAAGCTATATAGGTTTAAAGGAAAGGAGTTCAAAACTTTTGACATAAGATTCTAAATAATTTTTTAGGGTCTGATATCAGTTTGTTATTAAAGTTTTCTTGTAACTGGAACTATCGAATTATCGAATTGTTATAAAAGGGTCGATTATATATATAGAAAATAAATATCGAATTATCGAATTGTTATAAAAGAGTCGATTATATATAAAGAAAATAAATTTCGAAAGTGATAAATATGTTGTGAATGTGCAGTATGCGGAATTTATGCGAATTTATGTTAGAATAACTTAACCCTGTTTACTTAATAACGACAATATAAAAAAAAAAGTATCGGATCTGCGTAATCACTATTAAAAATTTTAAATATTTGGCAGTTCATTTAGATCATTTTACTACTAAACAGACCGTCTCAGTGAGACAATTCTAAAGAGCCCAAAATCATCAAAATCCAATCACTGAATTCAGAGAAAATTACCAGGTTGTTTACATCGGGTAAAATAAACCATCCTATTTTACCCTATATAAACAAAACTTTGGCGATCTCAAGATTCAGTGATTGGATTTTGATAATTTTTGTCTCTATAGAATCGTCTCACTGAGACGGTCATTTTGATGGTAAAATCATCTAAAATGAACTAATGAGTCCAAAATTATTCTTTGTCAAATATTTTAAAACGTTTACGTAGATCTAATCTACATTACGTTATTAGAATGTCAAATAACTGATTTGTATTACTATTTATTCTCAAATAGAAATTTTGTAACCTAAAGATCTTCGTTATGTAATACAATATTCACTCAAAACTTCTACATAGTAACCAACTAACTATTATTAGGTCGTATTTTTATTTATATTATTTAAAATTTTGACAAGAAGTTTCTTGGCAATTTCAAAAGAGAAAAATGATAAATATAGATATTGATTTCAAATTTTATTTATATAAATCTTGTCTTTTTAATTTGATCTTTAATTCGAGTAGTATCTCAAATAAAATAAATTTTCAAACTACTATTACGTAACTGATTTGGGTGGTAATGCCAGGTGGGTTTCCGGAGAATAAAGGAAACATTATGGTTACATGTGACCAAGATAACTCTATAAAATAATAGCCGTGGCGCTTTTATATTGCCAATAACAATTAAAGCTTGTACTTTTCATAAATACGGATTGTGTATGTTTAACTGATGATTGAGTAATGATAATCATTCATTTTTACTCCCGGAATTTTAATCCAAATAAGTAAAATAAATAAAAGTACAGCAAATAAAATATATTAAGGTAAAAATAAAATAAGGCATATAAAATAAAATAAAATAAAAAATTTACTATCCTACAGTATGTACTGACTGAAATAAATACGCTCCTGAAATGGTGCCAGAATCACACAGTTATCTAGTTAATATTAAATAACGATGATGTAGTATAATTAACAAAATTACTACTATAGATGTCATTAGAATGTGTATGTAGATTTGCACATTTAATATTTCCTAATATTTCATCCGATTTAGTTAGTTCTAATAAAATATTTTCGTCATTCAACCATTCTGTAAGGATTTCACAGATCTTCGTTGCTGACGGACGATTTATTGGATCTCTTTCCCAACATTTCTTCATTAAGTTTATATAGCATTGTGGCGTATTCTCGATGATTGTTGGTCGTAAATCGTTATAGCAAAGTTGTGTTTCAAATTCTCGATCATAAGATACTGATTTTCCATATAAAATTTCCCACATAATTATTCCGAATGAATAAAGATCTGATGCTGTTGTATAATCTCCTCCTTTCAAAATTTCTGGAGCTATATATGGTAAAATCCCATAAACTTCACGTCTCCCTGAATTTAGTGCTATATTTATTTATACTGAAAGTCCCAAGTCTATAATATATGCACTATGTAAATTATCTTGCAAAATGTTGCCACTGTGTAAATCTCCATGGATGAGATTTAGAGTATGAATTATTTGAAGATCAGAAGCGATACAATGCAATATAGTTATTTTATCCTTCCATTCCATTTGTACTATAGAGTGAAGATTTTGGCGCAAAGAACCCATTGCTGTATATTTTAAGACAAGGATGTAATCTTCAGAAGGGTCTTTTGATATTCCATAACATTTTAAAAATGATGGATGTTTAGAACTAATATCATAATATGCCTTTAACTTTAATTATTAAAATAAATACTTTAATATCTAATCACATACTAAATATATGCATGAAATAAAAATTACCTCTTTTATAAATCCTTCATTGCAAGATTTTGATCCGTGAAATACTTTAAGTGCAAGATGTCTTCTTATATTTTGTTTTTTATCTAACCATGTGGCAAAAAATACTGTTGCAAATCCACCTTGACCTATTTTTTTAATAACATTAAATTTTTTATAAGGAATCCATAATAATGGATATTCTTCTCCTTCTAATAATTTTCTTATATTATCATCAATATTAAACTTTTCATTTGTCTGTTTACGCGCGGCTAAAAAAATATTAAGTTGTAGATTTAAATTATGTCAAAAACAAAAAAGTAAATCAATAATAATTATATATTTTTAAATAATCACCTAGCATATTATTTTTTTCTCTAATTATGTTTGGTAAATATATACGCATTATTAACGATTATTACCGATTATAAACTACAGTAAATAAATAAAAAAAAAACCTTTGATACCAATCGTCAGCCTCCGGTAAGTTTCTCGATATTCCAACCCCGTTTCGATAGCAATAACCAACTTTAGACATTCCATTAGAATCACCCATTTCGGCAGATTTTTTATAACTAATGAACATCCTGGATTTATCCTTATCAATTCCTATTCTGCAAAAATAACAATGCCCAATTTGATTTATTGCGACAATATCATCTGTCACGACCGATCTTTGATAACAAATGGATGTCTTAAATTTATGTTCATCCTTCTCAACACCTATTCCATTTCGGCAACAATCTATAAAATTATATATTGCTTTAGCATTCCCCATCTCGGCAGATTTTTTATAATGAATGAATGCCTTAGATTCATCCTTTTCGGTCCCTATTCCGAATTCATAATAACAACCAAGTTTATCAATTGCGCTAGAATTTCCCATATCTGCGGATTTCTGATAATGGATGAATGCCTTATGCTCATCCTCTTCAACCCCTATTCCATTTTCATAACAATAACCAAGATTACTCATTGCAATAGCATTTCCCTTTTCTGCAGATTTTTGATAAAGAGTGAATGCCTTGCGTTCATCCTTTTCAACTCCAATTCCATATTGATAACAAAATCCAAGATTAATTGCTCCACTAATATTATTCATTTTATCAGATTTTCGATAAAGAATGAATGCCTTACATAGATCCTTTACAACTCCTATTCCATGCTGATAACAAAATCCGATTTGATTTGTCGCAGTAGCATTTCCCATCTTTGCGGATTTTTGATAATGAATGAATGCCTTGTGAACATCCTTTTCAACTCCAATTCCAAATTCATAACAACGCCCAAGATTGTACTTTACAATAGCATTTCCCATATTGGTAGATTTTTGATAATGAATGAACGCCTTTTTTTAATTCCTATTCCATGTTGATAACAATGTCCGAAATTATTTCGCATCTCTGTAAATTTTTGAAAGCGAGTAAATACCTTAAGTTTATCCTTTTTAACACTTATTTTACGTTGATAATTGTATCCAAGATCATTTAGCCTAATTGCCTTTTTATGAGAGGGCAGATTATAAAATTTCTGCATCTTACTTTTTGAATGTAGGAAAGCTAAAATTTTCTTGCGTGCGAAATTAAAATTAGCAAATGACTGCAGAATTAGAATTTAGTCACCAACAGAAAATTATCATAACATAAAATTTCAGAATAAAAATATATTGTAAATTCCAATGTTTAAACTTCGTTATATATAAATGAGATTTTTTTACAAGTAAATCAACAAGTCTAACGTGTTCGCAGTAACAAATTAATATAGGCCTTACCGTTTAAATGCCAACAAAAAATAGCATTTTTTTAAAAAAAAAATTTTTTTGCGGTTAAATAGCAACTGAATTTTCAAATTACTGCGATCCTACCCTTACTATACATGCCGTAGAAATTATTTAGGCACCAATTTTTCGGCAAAAATAAAGCCGCAAGTCATAAATTAATTGCCGCAATTTGTCTTATAATAATTTATAAAATCGAATTATTTCAGGATTTAAATAAAATATACTTTTTTTGTTTTTATTGTCGGAGAACACTGTTTTTACGTCTATATTTGATCCACACTGTCACGGGATTCTGTCAGTTCGCTTCCGCATCCCTGATTGGTTGTCATTTACGAGCTTATTTATAATTCAATCAATCTATTATTTAGCTTCGGACACACAATGCTATTCATTTCCTACATCACTACATCAATCGATAATATATCAATTATACTTTATACTTTATTATTTTCGGCATTATATTAAATATACTTCATTACTTTCGGCACTATATCAATTATGCTTTATTACTTTCGGCATTATATCAACATTTACAGTATGATATTAATTATGACTTTAGACATTGGTCATAAGTTGCGGCATGAATTTTAGATTTAGGTATTGCCGCAATAATTTCTACGGCATGTATAGACCTTACTCTTACAATAAAGTACTACGTGAAATGATCAATCAATTCTTTTATTAATGAAGTACATAAAAAGGAAATTTTAATACATCGTATTAACCTTTTCCATTTTAAAGTCAATTAATTATGCTTTTAAAAAATTTTATTTATTTATTTATTATTATTATTATGCACGGCAAAATCAAACAAAAACTTGATTATCAAGTTGTTGCATCTATCAATTTACAGTATTGGGCATTAAATACAAATATTATTTTTAGTAAATATATAAATAACAGGCATCCGAACTTACTTAGACTTATCATGAAGTTTAAAGTCAGATTAGAGTAATAATGGATTTTGTAATTGAAGCACAATATTATAAATCAATCCTTGAA